TCCTAAGAGACTACCTAACTGTTTTCTAAAATTTAAATTTCTACCAGTCATATGTGAGTCTTTCAGTTTTTCCACATCAATACCAACAATTGATATAGTTAGACTTTTTATTTTAGCCATACAAACAGGCATATAGTGGCTTCTCACTGTGATTTTAATTTGTATTTCCTTGATGACTTATGGTGTTGAGCATCTTTTTATATACAAGGTGTCCCAAAAAATGTTTACACACTTTAACAGCTGATAGCTCAATTTTGAAAATGAAATGTATTTCATTAATGCTATTTCATTAATGCTATTTTAAGACACAGTCACATTAGATATTAACATGAAGATCCAAGTATCAGAATATGGGTATCATCCACAAAATTGAGTAAAACATATGGAAAGACATAAATAAAATCAATAATTTTATCTCTATACTAGGGCAAGAAAATAACTGATAAATATGATTGAATATCTTGCTTTATAATTTTTATCAATGTGCATTTAGTACAATATAAATTGTCTTTATAATTATTCAAAGTGTCTGTATACTTTTTGGGGGAACACCCTATATTTATTGGCCATTTGTATATATTCTATGGTAAAATGTCTGTTTAAATCTTTTGCTCATTTGCTGGGGTTGGGAGGGGAGGGGAGTTTTTCTCCTATTATTGATAAACTAGGAGTTATTTTTATATTATGGAGATGAGTCTTTTGCCTAATACATGTATTGCATTTATACCAAACTGTGGCATGTCTTTTCATGCTCTTAATGAATTTAATTCCAATTTATCAATTTTTCCTTTATAATTTATATTTTTGTCCCATATCTAATAAATCTTTGTCTATCTCAAGGCTACAAAGCTTGTCTTTAATGTCTTTTTCTAGAAGCCCTTTAGCAGGGGTGGGGAACCTCTGGCCCATGGGCGGTATAAGGCTCAAGAAATCATTTGGTCTGGCCCTACCAAGGCCTTAGGGGTGGTTTAATTAAATGTTTGACCAAATAGAGCTGCTAATTTTTAAGTTGATAATTTTGTATGGTCTGATAATGATGTTATAAATATCCAAATGACCCTTGGCATAAAAAAGGTTTCCCACCCCTGCCCCACAGTTTTAGGTTTCACATATATAATCCATTTTGAGTTAACTTTTGTGTATTGTGTGCAGTAGAGGGTCAGGGGTTATTTTTTTCCATGGGACTATCCAGTTGATCCAGCACTAATTGTTGAAAAGATTTCCACTGAATTGCCTTGGCATTTGGTCAAAAAGTGATTAACCACATACGTGTGCGTCTATTTCTGTACTCTCTGTTCTGTTACATTCATCTATTTGTTTGTCTTTTCACCAATACCATACTGTTTTGGTCACTACAGTTTATAGTACGTCTTGAAATCATGTAGTGTGAGTCTTCCAACTTTGTTATTCTTCATCAAAATTATTTTGACTTTTCTAGTTCCTTTGATTATCCATATAAATTTGAGATTCATATAAAGGATTTTAGAATCAAACAATTGATTAGGATTGTGTTGAATCTATAGATCAGTTTGGAAGACAATTCATAATTTGTCTTCCAATTCATAAATATGGTATATCTCTTTATTATCTGGGTCTTCTTTGATTTATCAGTGTTGTATGGTTTCAGTCTATGTATCATGTAAATATTTTGTTAAATGTATAATTAAGTATTTCTTGCATTTTTGGGTGCTATTATAAATGATAGTTTTTCTTTAAATTTTCATTTCCAGTTACTCATTTTGTATTAATCTTATATCCTGCAATAGGGTTAAATTTATTTATTCATCCTAGCATGTTTTTTGGAGATTCCTAAGAATTTTCTAAGGGTGTATTCATATTGCATTTCTCTATTTCTCATCCAAGACTGCACTTCTTGTCCTTGCCTTGTTGCACTCATTAGGAACTCCGGTGTTGGGTCCTGATTTTAGGGGAAGATTCAGTCTTTCTCCATTAAGTATGTCAGCTATATATTGCTTGTTTTTCCATAGATGCTCTTTTTCAGTTAAGAAAAGTATCATTTATTCATAGTTGTTTTTGGAATGAATATTATTGTCAAATGCATCCATTGAGATGATCATATGTGTTTCTTCTCTAGTTTGTTAAGATGGTTGATTACACTGATTGGCTTCCTACTTTTTAACCAGCCTTGCATTTGTGTGGTAGATCTCACTTGGTCATGAGGTATTATCCTTCTGATATGTTGTTGGATTCAGTTGAAGAGCATTCGGCTAAGGATTTTGCAGTCTTCTTTTCTTTGGCTTTGGTATCAAGGCAATGCTGAACTCATATTTTATCTCCTACATATTCCTTCATTTTTCTATTTAATGGAATAGTTCATGTAGAATGAATATTATTTCAATTATCAGAGGAGCTGAGAAGTATTGCTCTAGGCAAGGAAGGAGGGCTGGTTCTTTATTTCTTATTCCAAATTCTCAACCAGGCATGTCAGCAGTTTTGTGCTATTAAAGGAAAACAATAACTGAAATCCTAGAATGTAGATTCTCCAGCATTAATTACTCATATTAGAAAGTGTTCACAGCCCCCAACGCCGACACCATTTGCCTGATATGAAGACAGAAAAGAACTAGTGGTTCTCAACCTGTGGGTTGCGACCTCTTTGGGGGTCGACTGACCCTTTCACAGGGATCGCCTAAGACCATCAGAAAACACATATATAATTACTTATTTTTTTGTGATTAATCACTATGCTTTAATTATGTTCAATTTGTAACAATGAAATTGGGGGTCACCACAACATGAGGAACTGTATTAAAGGGTCGCAGCATTAAGAAGGTTGAGAACCACTGTTATCTGTGGGTGTAGCTCCCACCAGGGGGTGCTGTGTGCCAGGCAATGAGCCTGGTGGTGTCCAGGCCTTTTAACTTGGATGAGTTCTGAGATGTGTCAGGGCCTCAGAGGCAGAATAGTGATAAGGCCTATCACCCGGGAACAAGGCCCACCTGCTTTCTCTGCAGGATGGAAACCTCTTTGCAGAACATGGTGGTCCTGCCCCTTCCTTGCACCAAACATATTCTGTGCAGTGGGGCAGACATTCAAGCGTAGAGACAATGAATGAGGTTAAGTTGTGCCCAGAGACACCTTAGAAGTGAAGCACAGGAACGCAAGTCCTAAGGAAGTTCTGGATTTTCACAAATAAATGAGAAAGACATTTTGAATCTTGAGGGAATTCATGGCTAAGAATCATTTTCACCAGGAAGGCAACACAGTAAGAATAGCAACCAAGGTCAAGTCAGTTTCCTGCTACCCCAGATCCAGGGCCTTGTACAATGTTGGTTCATGGATGATGCCTTCAGTCAGAGGCCTCACTCACACTCCTCGTCGAAGGTGGTTTCTCCTACACTTCTGGTCCTGTTTTGTGGGTGAGGAAGCTGAGGCTGGGGGAGTTTACAGAAGTCTCCCAAGACCACAGAGCTGGGGAGCATGGAGCAGCTGAAGGAAGGGAGGACATCACCACCCTCTAGGGATCTGCACCTGCTTACCTGGGCTTTAGCTCCTGGGTCCGTGTCACAGTTCCAGGCATGACTTGTGGGGGTGACGGGGGCAGCATGAGCAGGGACTTGAGTCCCTATGGCTTTATTAACCCCAGCAATGCCATGTCTCTGATAACTCCAGAGCATATGGTGTGCTGTATGTTGGGGTGAAGCCACCCCCTCCTGCCTCTGAGGGAGCCAGGCGATAACATGGGCTGAGTTGGGTGGGGTCTGGGGATGGCTGGGAATGGTTAATAAATCGCAGTCTTGGGAATCTAAGAGCAGGAGCCACCTGGGAAGCCTTGGAGCCGGTAGGGGGCAGACACTGGAGGGCCTGGGGCCTAGGGATGGTTCAGGTCCAGGAAGTGAGGCTGGAACCACTCCCCAGGATGCCGCCTCAAAGTGAGGACTGGCTCTGGGCCAAGGAAGAGGGGTAGGGAGCAGAGAAGGGAAGGGCCTGGGCCAAGAGGCAGATGTTGACAGGCCTTCTGGATGTCTCATGTCCAAGGTGCCTGCTGTGGGACTGATCCCGAGAGGTGGGGACGCTGCCTGGGTCAGGACAAGGCCGTCTCTAGTGACACTGAGAGTCCTAGCCCCTGCATGTCCTCCTTCATCAAGCATCCCGCGAGCTCTGTACGAGGGCCACTTCGGTTGCATGTCCTGAGCCAGGCTGCTGAGAGGGCTTGGTCTGCGGGGAGTCTGGTCCCTGTTGGTGGGTCTGGCTCCATGGACAGGCTGGCTCAAGGTTCGGAGGGCAACCCAACCAGGAGGGCTTGGAGGAGACGCTTAGAGTCACACAAAGGAAAGGGCGCAGTGGATGGAGAGAGATGGCTTTGGAAGGCAGATGGATTTGGAAAACAATCATCCCATTTGCAACGTGTTAGATCACTTTTTTCGAACATGGTCTTACTTGATGCTTTAAAAACACCTTTATTAAGATACAATTCACATGCATACAGTTCACCCACTTAAAATGTACAATTCAATGTTTTTAGTATCTTCACAGAAATGTACAGCCATCACATTTCCATCACCTCAGAAGGAAACCTGGAACTCTTCAGTGATTCCCCCACCTGCCATCCCTCATCCCTGCTTCCTCACCCCAAGAAATCACTCTACTGACTGTCGCTATAGAGTTCCCTGTTCTGGACTTGCACATGTGTGGAATCATACAGCACGAGGTCTGTTGTAACTGCTTCTTTTACTCAGCATAATGTTCTCAAGATTTATCCAGGTTGTAACTTGTGCCAGTATTTCCTTTTCCATTGTGCGTATAGACCGCATTTTGTTAATCCATTCAACACTTGACAGACATTTGGGTTGTTCCCACCTTTGGCTCTTGTGAATTATGCCGCCATAAACATTGGTGAGTAGTTTTTGTATGGACATACATTTTCATTTCTGTGGGGAATATGCCTAGGAGTGGACTGGTTGCATCATATGGTAACTCTATGTTTAACTTTTTGAGCAACTGCCAAATTGTTTTCCAAAGTGGCTGCACCATGTTACCTTCTCGCCAGCAGTCTCTGAGGGTCTCAGTTTTTGCACATCCTTGCCAGCACTCATGATAACTTATATGTATGAATCTAGTCATTTTAGTGTGTACAGTGGTTTTCATGGGCAGTTTCTTAATGATTAAAGATATCAAGCATCTTTCAGGTGCTTATGGACCATTTATGTATTTTCTCTGGACCAACATCCATTCCAATTCTTACCCATTTTTAACTGGGTCATTTGCCATTTCATTATTGAGCTGTAAGAGTTCTTTATATATTCTAGATAAAAATCCCTTATCAGATACATGATTTGAAAATATCCCTCCCATTCTGTGGGTTGTCTTTTCACTTTGTTGATGGTGTCCTTTGAAACACAAGGTTTTTAATTTTCATGATGAACACTTAACCTATTTTTGTTTTGTTGGTCTTACTTTGGTTTTATACCTAAGAATCCTTTGCCAAATCCAAGTCCATGAAGACTTACCCTGATGTCCCTTGAGCATCTGCTCTCCAGAAGGCTTCCTGCTCTCTCTCTCTCTCTCTCTCTCTCTCTCTCTCTCTCTCTTTCTCTCTCTCTCCACTAAGAAAAGACATTCTTTTTCTAGTGCCTAGCCCTCTTCCGGAAGATCCTGCTATAATTCTACCAACGTTCCCTCTCAATGGTCCTCTCCCACCGGCTCACCGTCGTCGTCTTTCTCTGGCCTGTCTTGTCTGGTGCGGCCTCACCCTGTGTCTCGAATCATCAGACTCCGCTGCTTAGAAGAGCTTGCCTGCCCGACTCCATCCTCATTTATGATGATTTCTTCCCAAGACTTAGCTGTTCTTACTGCATGTTTTTGTCCACTTTCCCCAGGTCCATCAAACATATCTATATGTCTGAACCCCAATAATTAACAGGTACCAGGGTCTTGTCTGTGAGGCCCCTGGCCCAGGCAGAGCAAGGACATGGAGCGTGTCTCTGCGAGCCCCAAGCATGCGGCTAAGTTTCAGGTTTGGATGCGGAGCGCACGGAGGAGCTCTGATGCATGTGCACAAGAGGCCCCTCACTTCCAAGCCAGGTACAGGGAGGGAAAATGGAGAGGGGGGAATGGGATATAGAAACGAAGGCTCAGAGCCAAAATGGCAACAGAAGATAAGAGTGGCTCTGATGCTTTCCTGCGCGTTACTCAGAAAATGGGAGGCCCGAGTGAACTCCCCTAGGTAGCAGGAAGCGGCTGTGCTATTTTTTGGAGTGATGTGCAAGGACATCAAGGCTCAATGAGCCCATTGCCTTGACATAGCCATGAGCCAATAGGTGATACCACACCCCATGCCCTTCCGGCCACCCTGCTGCTCCCAACTGACCTCTGCTGTCAGCCTCTGAGCTATCTGTGACTATGGACACCACATACGTAACATGCTGTCAACAAAGACCCTGATACTAATTATACAGGGAAGCAGGCATAAGCCAGGACCATCCCTGGCAAACCAGGATGACGGTCACAGAACCCGAGGGAGAGGCTGGTCAAGCACGGCCTGGCAGAAGCATTGCCCAGGCAAAGAAAGAACAGTTCTGGCACTGACACGGATGCCCTGGAGGGGGGCCCACGTGCCTCCGCAGTGAGTGTGATGCTGGGGTCCTGGGAAAGCACAGGGGGCACCACTCACTGTCCAGATCCGAAGACACAGGAAGGCTGCACCTTGGACACTGTCAGGGATCCAAACAATGTCTGTGGCTCATGCTCTTTAGAGCCGGGTCTCCCTCCCTTCTGCGCTAGCCGTTTGGCCTGTGCAGTGGTGGCCTTTGTTTCCTGGTGCGAGGCCCCACTTGCCTGGCCCGGGGAGAGCGGGCAGCGCATGCCGAGCTCCAGGCACCTGGGACTGCAAGTTCACGCTGACTTTAAAGTCTGTCTTCCCCACCTGTCCACCCAGTCAGCCTCATGGTGCTGACAGCGGGTCAGGGACACATGGTGCCTGCACAGTGTGAACAAGGGAAGGGGCAGAAGCAATGGGCGTTTATCTAGCCTCATGCTGGCGTTCCCCCGCCTCAGTGCTGGGGACCCCAAAGACAAATCACGCTCCCAAGGGGGAGGACAAATATATCAAGAAATGACTGCGAGGATGATTGTGGAGACACTGCTGCGGGCGTTCCTCACCTTCCTGCCAGGTGCTGTGTGCTTCTGGCGCTTTTATTAGCTGCTCCCTTCTGCGTAAGTATCTTCCTGGGATGCACCCGTCTCAGTGTGGGGCTCATTGATGTGGTGAATGTCACGCTGGGCATTCGCTGTGCTGCTTGCTTTTCCACTCAACATTAGGTTCTAACAGCTAGACATGCTGCTGCACACGGGCCACAGGCTTTTTATTTGCTCTATGTTATTCCCCCAAATGCATGCACTGCCCTTCAGTCAGCTGTTCGCCCACCCATGGGGTTTGGTCCCAGGGGTGAGGGACGGGATGGGAGGCTGCACTGTCAGCGAGGGGTGGGCATTGCCCTGGGCAGAGGGAGAGGCTGAGGGAGACGCAGCTGCAGCAGGGGCTTCGGCCAATTCCAGGGAGCTCTGGAGCAGGAAGGGCCCTTCAGAATTACCCCGAATTGAAGCCAGAGGCCTTTTCGCTCATAAAGGTTGGGGTATAAATGTCTGTTCTCATGCCTGGTCTGGGGGTGCCCCAGCCTCCCTCCCTGGCTGTCCTCGCAGTCCCTCCACTCCGCTCCCACCCCGCTGTCTCTCTGTGTGGCCTGTGGCTTCTGCTCACCCTCCCTGAGCCTCTCTCTTCGCTGCTCCGGTCGGGACAGTAGGTCACACGAGGGCTCAGGACAGCCCAGTCTTGCCAAGCCATCACTTTGCTGTGTGCGATGATGGCAATGCCACTGCTCTCACGTGACAAACAGGAACACGGTTAGGAAACCACCCTGCAGGTGACAGGTGGTCCTCAGGCCCAGGGCAGGTGCTACACGGCAGGGACCACAGGGTGGCGCTGTTGCCTTTCCATCTGTGATGGGGTGAACCGCGAGGGGAAAGGGTGAAGATGCGGCCAGAGCACACTTCTGGGGCTGCTCCTTGCATGTCCTGTGTCCTGTCCCTGCACAGTCGCCCACACCAGTCTGTCCTGAGCCACAGGCTGTGTCGGCCCTCCAGGATTGACAGAGACCAGAGGCTCTCGGGCCTTCTCCCGGGGGGGACTTGCTGCCTCAGGAGGCTCAAGACGAGACGCTGTCAGGTCTCCATCCCAGGCCAGTGACAACTGTGACAGAGGCACTGGTGTTCCTCAGAGCCAGGAAGACCAGCCCCAGAGGGTCGGGAAAGGGGCCAAGGGGTGACACTAGAGCAGGGTCCCAGCAGGTGGACTTGGGCTGTGGAGCGGGGGTGGGGTGGCTCAGACGGTCACCTGAAGGCCAAGAACAGGGTGATTCTTGAGGGCATTTGGCTGGCGCTGGGCAGCTGAGCGGGGACATAGTGGAGTGGATGCTGGAACTGTACTGCCCAGCATGCCAGGTGAAGGTGACGCAGGGCCAGATGTGTGTCTTAGCAAGAGTGAGGCCTCTCTCCCCTGACACGTGCGGAGGGTGAGGATGGCACGGCGGCTAATTATCCTTGGTCTCTTACAAATATCTGCATTCATGCTCATGCCCACACCCGCATAGTCACACACATGCCCTTACACAGACATGTCCATCCCCCTCACATGGCAGCACCTCTCCATCCCCTCCCCTTCGCCCACCCACTGAAAGAAGGGCCTGTAGGGAGGGGTGGGCAGGGTGTGGGGCTGAGGGACCATCGGGCCCAGGTCTCACATCCACAAAAGGCCACAGATTAGACGTTTGACTTTATTTCCAAGTAGAACTTTGATGCAGGCGTGGAAACACGCCATCGGGACAGGAAGACACCCACCACCCATCTTTATGGCTGAGCACATTGTCGTACCAGGAATTCGTGTTTTCTAAAACTCTAGTAATCAAACAATGATGTTTCATTGCAATTTTATGTTAAAGCTGTTCATTGGCTCCATGTAAACATTCAGCACAAACCTTTTTTTTGTAACATACTGGGAGCTTCCACCAGTGGGCATGGCCCAGGCCTCTCTAGGCCTCCGCTGGGCTTGGCCCTGGCCAGTGGTCAGAAGGGCGATGGAGGGAATCCTCACCATTTCCAGACTCTTCCTCACCCCCTCCCATTCCATGCGTGTCTCGAGTCAGAGGAGGAGGAAAAACAGAGGAAACAGAAACCATGTCCTCCTGGGTCAGTGAGGGCTGGCGCGGCCCACGCCCAGACCACGGCCTAGATCACTGCTCCGGAGGCCGGATGCAGCACAGCCTGTGTGGGGAGCGGGTTATGCTGAGCGAGGAGCTGAGATGCAGGCCATAGGCCCAGCCATTAGGGCGACTGTGTCTGCCCCTCCCAAACCACCACACGGCCTGAATGCACGGGCAGCAAGTGGCCCGTGAGAACTGTTGGCCATACAAGCACCGTGCACACTGTGGCCGAGTGCCACTGCCCCGCTCTCTCCCCTGCAGTTGGTTTAGGGGCACCTTCCCAGTGACTCTGGGGTGATGCTAAAAAGCACTGGCCACTGCGTCAGCACCGGCACCGAGCAGCCAGAACATGCCCTGGATGTAACCGGCAAACCAGTCCCACTGGCGAATACTAGCCAGTCTCCGCCCAGTGCCCCGCGCTCCCCACCTCCCAGCATCTAACTGACCTGTAGCTACAAGGTGACCTGCCACACTGTGATGGGGCACCTGGGAGGGTCCTAGGCATGGGTGATAGATTGCCCTATGGAAACCTGTGAGGTGGAGTCAGATGACTGATGGGTGCCACTTGACCTGTCTGAGTTTGGGGTTCTGCGTGTATAAATTAGGGGTCACAACGCCTGTCTCACTGGGTTGTGGGGATGTGAAATGACTGGTGTAAGCACATGGTCCATTTCTTTCCCTCACACTCCCCGAGGTTATTGGAATAAGCCCCAGTCCCTTCCACGCCTCTAATTTCTCTAAATCTCTACACATCACCTACCTGTCTAGACTCCTGTGGCTCACCTTGCTCAGTGTTCTGCTGACTCTGGATTATTTTTTTTTTCTTGTTCCCCGTTTGT